AAGTCTGGCATTAATTATAGCTTTCTGAAAGAAATCTGGCATTAATTATAGTTTTCTAAAAGAAGTCTTGCATTAATTATAGCTTTTGAAAAGAACTCTGGTATTAATTATAGTTTTCTAAAGGAAGTCTGGCATTAATTATAGTTTTCAAAAGAAGTTTGGTATTAATTATAGTTTTCTAAAGAAAGTTTGGCATTAATGATAGCTTTCTAATAAAATCTAGCATTAATTATAGCTTTCTAAAGAAAGTCTGGTATGAATTATAGGTTCCTCCCAAAAATCTGATATTAATTATATATTGGAATTGGAACTCAGTCCTCCAATTAACAATTCTGAGCCATTATCCATTACACCACCCGCACATCCAAGATTACAGCACTTGGTCATAAGGTTAAATTATCCTGAATTTGTATGCATTCCATTGATAAGAAGTGTGTTCCTCTTCAAAATCAAGAATTGCTACTTTGTGGAACTGACTCCCGAGGGGATGCTTCCCCAAACATTACAATCTTAACCTTTTCAAGTTTAGGGTCAATCATTATTTATCCTCCATGTCCTCATAATCTTCACTTTCTACTTACTGGGTGAATCTTGATATAAACAAAAAGAAAATAAAAGAAAGCGAGAAGAAAGTTTCTTTCCATATATAAGATCAACAGAAATATGATTTAGGGATTGCCAAAAATCACTGTCAAAGATTGATTGATTGATTTGTTTCATGGCATATCAACATCCTTATGGGTCATTTAATGCCGAAATTTAATTTTCTATTGAGCTTTGAAGCAATAAAATATGATGTTATTTTGCTTTGACATTTGAATACATGGTAGATGATTCTCAGCTTTTGTGCATATACATGTTTGTGGGGACAAAATTACTAGAGGAAGTGATATGTGTGTTTTATATTATAGTTTCGTTAAAGTTATATTTTGGAATACAGTTTGATTTAAAAGATTGTCGGAGATAATATGACTTAATGTCCTGAAAAAGCTCTTTTATGTTGGTTGTTTGATTTTGTTTTTCATTCTCTGTGGGTCATTTAATACCAAAATTTAAATATTTTGAACAATTTTATGGTTTCAAGTAAATATATTTTGAATGCCTTCAATTACAGATAAAATGTATTGCTGGTCATATTGCTTTGAAAATGTATTGTTAATTTTACTATAAATAGGTATTGTTGCTAATTTTACTATAAATAGGCATTGTTGCTAATTTTACTATAAATAGGCATTGTTGCTAATTTTACTATAAATAGGCACTGTTGCTAATTTTACTATAAATAGGTATTGTTGCTAATTTTACTACAAATAGGCATTGTTGCTAATTTTACTATAAATAGGTATTGTTGCTAATTTTATTTTTAAATAAAAAAGTATTGCTGGTATTTTTACTATAAAAATGTATTTTTATACTTTCATTGTGTTTTTTTTTTTTTTGTAGTTTCACTATTTTCCCATAGTTGGGATCCTAACAGGTTCTAACATCCCTGGAAACAACTAAGCAATTAAGAAGTGGTTCCTTGTTCTTTAAAACTTCCAATTTCCTGGTCAGAAGCCTTTCTGACAGATATAGTTTATGGTCACATTGTCAAAGAGAGGCCTACCAAGATCCTGGACCAAAGAAATAAAGTTAGGTTCCTAACTCATTCTACCATGTTTTATCTTTACAAGAGTCTGATTCAACCCAAAATGGAGTATTGCTGCCCATACTGAGTTGAAACTGCTCAATCCTCACTTTCCAATCTTGATACAGTGTGCAGCATAAATACCTCCCACATTTTAAACTGTCATGTGTGTGGTGTTAGTGAACTTGGGTAAGTGGTAATGGTGTCTTCCTCTAGCTAATGCCTTTACATTTCTTCTCAAATATGATCAGTTACCATCATGTCTTGCACCAGTGCATATTGTGCATTTCCTGTTGAAACGTTTTGTTGAATCTGTAATTGCAACACAAAGAGTTTTTCATGCTCATTTCATGTCATGTCAGTATGATGTTGTCCTAGAAAATCGATACTGCCATAGGTTAAAGATTTCAGGGTCACAGGTTCAGTGCTTAAAAGAAAGCCACCTGGAAACCTTTGAAGCATTTGAACGTCCAGGAGATGGTCAACTTCAGAAAATTGCAGTTACTGATATAGAAGTAGATAAGTCCAGTTATTGCCCAGTTCACACACCTCCCCGATCTTTTGAACAGGTGTAGGGGTGTATCCCTTGTTTTCTATTTAGGATTGGGTTTCTGGTTCCTACTAAATTCTACTTCAACTGTACACTTCTAATGTCTCTGCCTAAACACTGAAAATGTTACCATTTATTATCTTTTATTTTTTCCACACGAGGAGTAGATAGGTTTGCCTATCATCCAGTTCACTTTTGAAAATAAGTAGGTGTTTATCTCTTGTTTGCTGTTACAGATTGGGCTCCAAGTTCCTTCTAAATTCTACTTCAACTCTATACTTCTAACATCTCCACTTAAACTCTGAAATTTATACTTTTATTGGGTTTTCCTTCTAAAGTCTTTTTCTTCTCTTTCTCTTTCACTTCCTGTAGCCCCTTGTGTTTTAGTGGTGTTATCACCTTGCTCGGTGGAGTAATTGATTTTTAAAAAATCATTATAATATTAAATAAATAAATTAATTCAGTTTTAACCAACTCGTGACACAAAAATCTGAAAGGATATAAGATGTTTTTCAGAAACTAAGAAAAATATTAAGAGATAAGAGAATGTCATTTTCATATCAATATAAAAGAAAAGACAACTGAAATTCTATATAATATCTAATCTTCTATATGAAAATGAATACTGGATGATCTCTTTACAGATGAAGAAGAAACTTGAAGTAACAGAGATGTGGTTCAACTGGAGAATACGATGGACAGAACATGTGAACAATGAGGAAGTCTTAAGGAAAATAGGGACAAAGAACTTATACTTACAATCAGAAAGAGACAAAATTCCCAGGAGACCTAATGAAGAAGGCCTAGAATGATTGAGAGATTGATTTGTTTTTATGGATTACCAACCTTTTGCAGGTTATTTAAAGCCAGATTGTAAAAGTATTTTAGAAATTTCCTTAAAGATGAAGAGACTCAAGGCAACAGAGATGTGGTTCAACAGAAGGATGCTAAGGATATCATGGACCGAGCATGTGAGCAATGATGAGAACTTGGTTGCAAACAAGGAGGAGGCTTATACTTATTATCAGAAAGAGGCAGCTGAAATTTCTGGGACATATAATGAGGAAGGAAGGCCTGGAGAATCTGATACTCATGGGTCGAATGGAGTGAAAGACAGACAAGGGAAAACAACGCGTGACATAACTGGCGGACTTAAGCAAGTGGATGACAGAATGTGGTCTGGGGGAGGAAGCTGCTGGGGATAGAAACTTGTTCAGAGCTGCAAGGGATAGAGGGAGGTGGAGAGCCATGATTGCCTATGTCCTAAAAGGACACACCACATAAAAAGAAAGAAATGATTTTACTAATTAATTTATAGCTGGGGAGAGAAGAGGTGGATTCTACCCTTTCCCAAGGCCATTTGTGAGTAAGTGAATGGTTTCAGCATGATACGCTCATAATCTGAAAAGGGCCTCAAAAGTCTTTTTTATCTAACATTTTCATTCAGAATGTTTGGCCGTTCAGTCAGTATACAAAGAAACTATTCATGTAGTACCTAATGTCATCAGACATCAGGAAATGTGGTACAGAAATATGAAGGTGTATAGGAATAGTAATAAGATGCCTTCCAGAAATAAAGCAAAATATTAAGAAAGAGAAAAAATTTGTTAGAAACAAAGAAAAGAGAGCTGAACTACTATGTAGATGCAGGCGTATGTTCTATTCTAATAGTTTCTTTTATTGCTTTTGTCCCTTCTTATTTCTTGCTTCCCTGCTATCTACAATCTTCAAAAAGTTATATGCAATGATAATCACCATCTTCTGTCTTCCTAATACCTATTCTTTCTTTTCGCTTCTCCTCAAGTCTTCTAAACCTCTATCACTCTCAGTAAACCTCACCTCTTAGTGGCATTATCTTCTCTCTTCTTGGTAACTGTTCTTTTATTGTCCTTTCTCTTCACTTCTCCTCACTAAAGTCTTCTCACTCTCTTTCCCTCTCAGTAACCCCTTGCCTCCTAGTGGCATTATCTTCTCTCTTCCTGATGAATGTTCTTTTATTGTCCTTTCTCTTCACCTCTCCTCACTAAAGTCTTCTCATTCTCTTTCCTCTCAGTAACCCCTTGCCTCCTAGTGGCATTATCTCCTTGCTTGGGGTAAAATGATTAAAAAAAGGAAAAAAAAACATTAAAGGCAAGACAAGTGGGGGGGGGGTCAGTAAGTAACCTACTTAACAAGTATGTGTAAATAGATGTCAGAATAGGGTTAAAGAGGGATGATGAAGCATTATTCTGAGCAACAAAAGACCAGAAGTTGTAGAGAGCCATATCCTGAAGAGGCATGACATATAAAAGAAGATGTGACTGGATGGCAGAATAGGATCAAAGAGGGACAGTAAAGGGTTAAAAGTTATTTTGAGCAACAAAAGACTAAAAGTTGTGGAGAGCTATGTCCTGAAGAGCAACAAAAAAAAGACTGGATGATAGAATAGGATCAAAGATGGGCAATAAAGGGTTAAAGAGCTATTTGTCCTGAAGTTGTGGAGAGCTATGTCCTGAAGAGGCATGGCATATAAAAAGATGTGACTGGATGATAGAATAGGATCAAAGATGAGCAATAAATGGTTAAAAGTTATTTTGAGCAACAAAAGACTGGAAGTTGTGGAGAGCCATATCCTGAAGTGGCATAGCATATAAAAGAAAATGTGACTAGATGGCAGAATAGGATCAAAAAGGGATGCCAACAGGTAAAAAATTATTTAAAGTAACAAAAGGACTTGGAACATAAAATAAGAAGACTTGTCATTTAAATGCTGTCAAGTTTTTCTTTAAAAGATTTTTCCTATAATATGAAATGATGCATTGATGGCAGTGATTAAAATAAATGTTACAATGTGCAGTTAGTGTACATACTGTCAACTTCCTTCTTATTAAGCTCATCTTCCAGCCTCCCAAAAGTGGTAGCGTGCCCATCATGCGGCAAAACTTCATCACTTGATACATTGCTTGCTTGAGAGTTCTCACCTGGAGCTGAGGCAGGAATCATCGGCTGAGGTCTACCAGCTTGGCCGCTGACGTTCATACTGAAAAAGTTATAAAGGAAAACCTTAAAATTTGTTTCAGGTATCAAAAAAAATTAGTGTGCCAACACTAAGGTCAATCACGAATCTGTAGTGAACAGTCCAGCAGGCAACGTAGTAACGAAAACGGGGTCAGAAATTCAAATGCACTATCAGTCACCAAACTCACAATCGTTCTTCCTGGTAAGCAAAAGCAACAGCCTTTATTCACCGAGCCATTTTTCTGATTGGCCACACCAATCAGGAAGGGAAAAACATTAGCATAGTTTCGCCTGTACTTAAAGTAGCAGCTTTTTTGCTAATAATTTTCTTTAATTTTCCTTCAGCAGACCATGCACAAAACACAAACTCTTTTTTTCAAAGTAGGTGATTTTCTCTTTTGTTACAAAATTATACATGTAATCAGCAATGCTTTCAGTAATGCTTGCATTCATTCCTGACCACTGACAATCCCTTTCTTCCTCTTTTGCAATGCATTCCTATACTAAAGTCATAAGCAATGCATTTAAATGATACATATAACAGGCCTATTCTATCAATAATACTTGCATTCATTCCTGACCACTGACAATCCCTTTCTTCCTCTTTTGCAATGCATTCCTATACTAAAGTCATAAGCAATGCATTTAAATGATACATATAACAGGCCTATTCTATCAATAATACTTGCATTCATTCCTGACCACTGACAATCCCTTTCTTTCTCTTTTGCAATGCATTCCTATACTAAAGTCATAAGCAATGCATTTAAATGATACATATAACAGGCCTTTTCTATCAATAATACTTGCATTCATTCCTGACCACTGACAATCCCTTTCTTTCTCTTTTGCAATGCATTCCTATACTAAAGTCATAAGCAATGCATTTAAATGATACATATAACAGGCCTATTCTATCAGTAATGCTTACATTCATTCCTGACCACTGACAACGCAAATGTGAAATTCCTTTCTCGCATAGCACACTCCTTAAGGTTTGGTTTGGTTTGTTTTCTTTACGGCATATCAACATCAATGGGTTATTTAATGCCGACAAAATTTTTATTTCTTGTAATATGTTTTTCTTCAAAAATCTATTTCTGGGAATATTTTTCCTTGAAGAAATCTATAGCTGGTCATATTTTTTTTCAAAGAATGTATAACTGTTTGTATTGCTGTTTTTTTTTTTTAAAGTATTGCTCATAATAATTTTTTTTATTACAAAGTTTCTGGTATTAAAACCTATTTTTACACAAGTTTGGTGTTAACTATTTGCCCATAATTGGGACCCTAACAGGTGCTACCCCTTCGGTAGCTTAGGAACACCAGCAATTAAGAGGTGGTTCTATGCTCATCAAAACATCCTGATCCAAGGCCTTACTGTTAGACGTAGTTTATAGCCTTACTCAGGACGCGGATGTAGTTTATTGTCATACCCAGGATGACACTCCTTAAGGATAATACTACTGCTACTAGTGTAAATAATATAATTCAAGTTCTATTTTAGTACTAATGCCAACAGCTCTATTAAAGTTAAACAGTACTGACTTTGCCATGTTTTCTCGTAAAGATGATGCTTGCTCTGAATAGGTCTCAGCAAGGTTTTCAGCTGAATACATTCCAATTGGGCTGTTGAACTGAGCATGGATCACAGAAGGTCCAGAATCCTGAGGACCAGATGCAGCTCCAAATGGTCTGGCAGATCGATTGTGGCTGCTACCAATTGTGCAGATGTCCTATAAAAAGACAAAAACAAAAGAAATTGCAACATCTATCAGAGAGATGAAATTTAAATTTTTATTACTGCATTATTCCAAAATCTTAACACATCAGCAGATAGCTATTAATATCAACAACTGAGCACAAATAGTTATTAATTAAAAAATTAGTATTTACTATATAATATTATCCATAATTACATGTCCAAGAATGTAATTTTTGATAAAAGTTAAAAAAAGTAACTATAAATACATAAAAATTGCGTATATTGTTGAAAATTCCTTTTTCCACAATATAGATTTAATATTTATAAGTCTACTATTCATTCATGCATTGAATATTGCTGCCATATCTGGTCTGGTACTTCTGCTATGTATTTAGAGATTCTTGATAAAATACAAAGAAGAATTTGCAATGTTATTGGTCCTGACCAGGCATTTCAGCTTCAGTCACTTTCCCACTGCCATAATGTAGCTGTCCTGTGCCTTTTCTATAAATACTTTCATGGTAATTGTTCTGATGAGCTTTCTTCTTTGGGGTTAGATTTTTAATTTGTTTTATTCCCCTAACCACTGCAGACAAAAAATTGTACATATGAGAACTAGTTAGGACTTCATAGAGACTTTGAGGTATTATGGTGACTGTAGTAAGAATGCTAATTAAGAGTGTGTTGTTTTGGTGTAAGGAATATTCTGGTATTTTTTGGTCAGTAATAGTGGCTAGCTACATTCCTGTGCAAATTAATTGAAACAAAACAAATAATTCTGTCATTATTTATTTTTTTCATATTTTTCCAATGAAAGATGACCCTGTGCACATGTTAGTACTTTGTATGTCTATTCCACAAAGTCATTCCTTGCAGATTGACCACAGATTCTTGATTGGATTTAAATCAGTAGAGTTTCCAAGCCAGTACTTTGATTTGCTTACTGGTAACGTTCATTACAGACAATGACCGTAGGATAACTAATTGACAGTTGAGACAATAGTGTGTGGGTGTGATAAAAATATGATGCGATCACAAATGGCACAATATTTTTCAAGGCCAAACAAATTTCATCAAACACCCTGAAAACAGATTCATATTACTGCACACCACTGCAAATGACCTAATCTGAGGATAAAATAGAAATTGATTACAGCCTATAAGTCCTGTGGGTCCAAAACTGACCATATGGTGAAAGAAAGGAAAGCGGTTGTTCTAATTAATTTGCACAAGGGTGTAGGTTTAATTATAAGACAGAAAAGCAGCCTTCCTCCATACCCACTTTTGGCCTTGTGCCACATTTTTATATCTTCACAAAATAAATATCACTTTCGTCTTTGGTACCTCGACTGCAAGAATTTAAGCTTAGTATTAAACTGATATCTAGGTATCGTCATTTTACAGTCAAAATAGCAGTCAAGATTTAACCATAAGTTCCATGCTAAGTTTCTACACTTGCAGTTCTCCTTTTTGGAAAACTCTTCTGGCTTCTTGCTCCACAATAAACTTTCATCTACCCTGGCTCAGGGTGGACTTGGGAACACCACCAATTAAGAAGTGGTTCCATTCTTCTCAAAAATTCCAATCTCCTGATTAGAGGCCTTGCTGCCAGATATAGTTTATCATCATACCCTGAACTAAGGTTAGATTGCAGTGATTGAGGAAACATTCTCTTGGGAGTCAGTTCCACAGAGCAGTGGTTCACAGGATGAAGCTGTTCGAGTGGAACTTACTTCTCACCAATGGAATACAGAAGGAATGTGGGTTGTTTCTGACAATGTGAGTGAATATGGCAGATCTGAGCTGTGAACTGGCAAAGAAACTCAAATTCTTTCCAGACCTCAAGGAGAATGCATATAGAAGATGCACTGCCAAAGATGCTGGATAAATGTTTGGATTACTCTACCACTCCAGAAATTACCTGGCTACTTCTCCGATGCTTTAACTTTAAAAGAGTCAGATTAAATCAAAAATGAAGTCTTGCTACCATATCTAGGCTGGAGGTGCTCAATCCCCACTTTCTAGCCTTGATAGAATCATTTATGTGCGTGCCCTTAAGGGTAGTCGTGGTGGTGTAAACATATTTTTCAAAGTTTCTTTTCCATAGAAGTAATCTCACAAGCATATCATTACTCTATCACTATTTCCATCAAAAATGTTTGCATGCATTCCATTCCTGAGTTCCTCCAATCCTAGACTTAATAGTTAACACCCACCATGCTGTGTCCACAGATTGGAATTACCCATGCTCATTTTGTCTTCCATTTGTAAGGAAGAAGATCCGCTCAGCTTTTTCCCCCAAAACCATTTATTTGTGGAACAGACTTCTTCAAACTCTCCAGTCTTTTAGTCTAGCTAGAGGTAACCATATGTGGAACTCACTTTTGATATCTTGATTCCCTGCACTTTACAATCTTCAAAAATTTAAATGCAACATCAGTCACCACATTCTGTCTCTCTGAAATATGTTCTTTTATTGTCCTATTTCACAAAGAAATGATTCCTGAGTGGTTCTTCATTACAACTGGAAAACAAAAGGTGTGAGGATGGTTCCAATGCATGGACACATGGACATATATATGGGTCATTCTTAAGCATCAAGTTTATAAGGTGCCAAATGAGAAAGGACAATAAAGGAACAGTTTTGGCACATTATAAATTTGATGCTTAAAAATGACCCATATATATGTCTATGTGTCCATGGATTGGAGCCACACTCACTCCTTTTGGTTTCCTGTTGTAATGAAGAAGAATCAATCAGCTTTTTTTCAGGAATCATTTCTTTTTGGAACAGTCTTTCCCAAACATTACAGTCTTAACCTCTTCAAGTCAAAGGTCAACTGTTATATATTCTCCATATCTATATAATCCTTACTTGCTAATTTCTACTCTTACATTTATGTCACAAACCTCATTTAGTAATACTCTACCTTCAAGGGCTCTTCAGCCTTCTACTAGGTGAACATTAATAAAGAAAAAATAAAAATATGACAATCACTATCATGTGATGATACAGCACTCAAACACCAGTTAAAAAAATGCAATATATTCATATAGACAAGCCTATTAATAAAATTTTAGTAAACTTAGATCTTTATGCCCACAAAAAAACGAAGTGTCTAAAGGACGTTTTTTCCATGATATTGCTTTTATTTTACCTACTTTCCCTCCTAAGCAATGTTTATTGTTTTTAAAAAAACAATGATTAGAATCGTAATAAAACTTAAACATATGAAAATTAATTTTTACTACATATTTGCACTCTTTCATTGTCGAAACAGTTAAATGTAACCGCCTCTTCTACTCCAACAGCTTCTTCTCTCACATTTCCTGACAGTAGAACTCCCTTCCTCTTAGTTGCTTCCCTGATAACTATAATCCTCAAAATGTTAAATGTACTATACTCACACTCTCTGTAGCCCCTTGCATACTAGTGGCACACTGGCCTTGCTTGGAAATGCTTAAAAAAAATTCTTACATGTTTGAAATTCATGAGATAGAAGTTTCATTTTGGGGACAAACTTCTGTTGGCTTAAGACATATTTTTCTGCAACAAGTTATGCTGAAATCATGGTTTTGTTGATTTTAGCATGTTGTAAATTTGATGCTTAAGAATGATCCATATATAAGTCCATATGTCCACAGATTGGAATCCCCCTTTCTCATTTTGATTCCCAGATGTAAGGTGGAAGATCCATTTAGCTTATTCTTAGGAAACATTGCTTTGTGGAACGGACTCCACCAAATAAAGCAGTCTTCACCACTTCAAGTCAAAGGTCAATAGTTATCTATCCTCCATATCTATATAAGCCTTACTTACTAATTTCCACTCTTACATCCATATCACAAAACTCATTTAGTAATACTCTATCTTTAAGGGCTCTTCAGCCTTGAACTGGATGAACATTAGTAAAGAAAAGTTAAAAACATAACAATTACCAACATGTGATGATACAGCACTCTGGAAACTGGGTCTCAATGTTTTACTGTTGAACTAGCTAGAGACAACCATATATTGTATTCTAAAAGTTTCTTTTCTCACACTTCTCTCCTGTGCACTTCTCTCCGTTCTAATAATTTACTTCCCTGCCACCTATGATCTTCAAAATTTTAAATTCAACACCAACATTCTGTCCTTTTGAAGTGTGTTCTTTTATTGTCTTTTCTCCTCACTAAAGTCTTCTCATTCTCTTTTACTCTCAATAACCCCTGGCATCTTAATGACATTATCAGCTTGCTTGAGGTGAAATGATTAAAATAAAACAAAAAAAACCCTCAAAAGCCACTTAGAGAAATGCAATATTTACCACAATACATATAAAGAGACAAGCATATTAACAAAATATTTACATTTTTACCACTGATTCTTAAATGTCTGAAGACCATATTA